GGGAGGGTGGGTGGGTGAGTGTGAGTGTGTGAAGAGGCAGGAGGGACGCAGACCCGCTATTTGCCCGCAGTGGGGGCAGTGGCCACGATCTCTTCGTATTTGGGTGGTGGGTCACTGTAGGAGACACTGGTCTCTTCGCCACTGCTGCTCTCCGGGTGGCCCGTCACCTCCTCGTAGGAAGGTGGAGGGGTGGCACTGGACAGTCTGGAGAGGACGGAGACCGAATGCTCTGGTGGGCAGAGGGTGCCGTCTTGCTGGGGGGTGCCCCCAGCTCTGCCATCTCCAGCCCCCCGGTTGCTGGCTTCTCGCTGATACTGGGTTTCCCCTTGGCTTTGCGACCGCTCCCGGTACACCATGACCCTGGGGAGGCTGCGTCCCGTTCGGCTGGCCAGGTAACGGTTCTGGGCATAGGAAGGGCGGTGGCGGGTGGCCTTCTGCAGCTGGCACCTCCAGATGATGAAGAGGGCGATGACTATCAGAAGAGCCACTCCCAAGAGGGGGACCACCACGTACATAGCATCTGAGCGCTCCGTGCTGTGCCCGGGGTCCTTGACAGAGTAGACAGAGTTGGTGTAGCCCTTCCAAAACTCCATCTGTGGCAGGAACAGAGAAGCAATCGACATGTGCTGTGGGCAGGACAAGCAACCCCTGACCACCGCCAGCAATAATCACTGCCCTGCCTAGGCCCACAAAAGAGGCAGGTTTTGGGCCGTCCCCCACCACTCTCACCTGAGGCGCTGTGGGAACCGACACAAAATATGACAGCGACACCCCTCAACAGTGGCTAACAGACCCCACACCAAGCAGGGAGAAATTTGGCCAACACCAACCCCAGCCTGGAGTGTTGGGGACAACAGCACAAATTTCCCACCCATGCCATGGGAGTGCCAGCTCCACCTGCAGCCGTGGGCAGGCTGTCCTGGCAATAGCGAGGTGAGGGCAGTGCTGGGGAAGGGAAAGTCATGCTGGAATGCAAGGCCACAACATGCTGCCTGCAGACAGAAGAGGACAAAGGGAACAGGAGAGGCTGTCCCCCTGTGCTTTCCTTCTCTGCCTCCAATTTGCTAAGGCGTAAGCCCTCAGAGATCCACTGGGGAGCAGGGCAGGACAAACGCACCGTCTTCTCCTTGTTCTCAAACACTTCCTTGACCTCCTCATAGCTGCAGACCTCCTCGATGCACTCCCGCTCGATGGTGCCCTGCCGAATCTCCTCCAGAAAGCCGTTGGCTCGGGGAAAACGCTTCAGGACTGAGTGGGCATTCCTGGCCCCCAAGAACACTGCAACACACAAGGCAGAGACACGTTGAGCAGGGACAACCCCACCTGGCTCCCTGCAGGATTTTGATGATACAGGCTTTCCCACACGGCTTCCCACATGCACCCCAAACACCAAAAGCCCAGGAATACAATTTATTAGTTGGCACAGCAGAGTGCTGGTGGAGGGACAGCACATCCAGAGAGGCACAGGGCCCCTGGGGTCTGCCCGGAGACATGCAGCACCAGGAGCATCCTTCCAGCAGGGTTGAGGTGCTGGAGACATTGGAAGTGGCAGCTGCAGACCACACAGGGCAGCTGCAGAAGAGACAGAAGGCTCCAAAAAGACTCGTTTCCAACCTCCTGCCTTGATGGGCTTTCACTGTGCTTTCAGGCAAGGGAGATCCCACCAGGTGAGCAAGACCCCACAGGGCTGAGATGCAGAGCCAGGCCTCTGCCCAGACACAGGACCAGCACCAAGGCAGGCTCACAACACACTGTGCATCATTCCACAGTCCCGCTGCGCATCACCCCAGAGCCCCCTCTCTTGCTTCACACCCCCACAGCCCCTCAGGAGGGAGGCAGCCTGCCTGCTGGTGTACCTGCTGCCAGCTGCTGTGGGGTCATGCAAGCTCAGGTGGCTTCAGGGACCCTGTTCAGGTCCCAGATAGTGAAAAGGGCAGAAGCAACCTCTCCCCACACGGCATCACATTCTCATCCCTACTGCGTTTTGGTGCAGAGGCCTCACCAACCTTCCTCAGCTCCCAAAGCCTGGGACACTCTACTGTTGCCCACATCAGACCTTCCCATAGAGCACGCCAGCCAGACCGAGCCAGAACAGCACTCTTCTGCCTGCAAGGGACACAGCCCTGTCAAAGCCTCTCCCCTCCTGCTCTGAAGGAGGGAGACCTCCATGGGGTGCAGGGAGCAAGGATCTACCAGGACCTGCAGCAGCACAGAATCACAGAATCAACTAGGTTGGAAAGGACCTTGAAGATCATCCAGTCCAACCGTTAACCCAGCACTGACTGTTCCTATCCACACCAGATCCCTCAGTGCTATGTCGACCCTACTCTTGAACCCCTCCAAAGATGGGGACTCCAGCACCTCCCTGGGCAGCCCATTCCAATGCCCAACAACCCCTTCTGCAGAGAAATACTTTCTCAGAGCCAGTCTAAACCTTCCCTGGCACAACTTGAGGCCATTCCCTCTTCTCCCATTGCTTGCTACTTGGTTAAAGAGACTCATCCCCCCTCTCTGCCCCCTCCTGTCAGGGAGTTGCAGAGGGCCAGGAGGTCTCCCCTCAGCCTCCTCTTCTCCAGACTAAACCCCCCCAGTTCCCTCAGCCGCTCCCCAGCAGACCTGTGCTCCAGACCCTGCACCAGCTCCGTTGCCCTTCTCTGGACACGCTCGAGTCATTCAATGGCCTTTTTGGGGTGAGGGGCCCAAAACTGAACACAGGAATCAAGGTGCAGCCTCACCAGTGCCGAGTACAGGGCTCAGATCCCTCCCCTGTCCCTGCTGGCCACACCAGTGCTGACACAAGCCAGGATGCCACTGGCCTTCCTGGCCACCTGGGCACACTGCTGGCTCCTGTTCAGCCGGCTGTCAATCAACCCCCCCAGTCCCTCTCTGACTGGCAGCTCTCCAGCCACTCCTCCCCAAGCCTGTAGCGCTGCTGGGGGTTGTTGTGGCCCAAGGGCAGCCCCAGGCATTTGGCCTTAATGAAGCTCATGCAGTTGGGCTCAGCCCATGGCTCCAGCCTAGACAGGTCTCTGCAGAGTCTTCCTACCCTTGAGCAGATCAACACTCCCACCCAACTGGGTGTCATCTGCAAACTGACTGAGGGTGCACTCGATCCCCTTATTTAGATCATCAATAAAGATGTTTGCCTCTCCCTTGCTGTTTAACAAGTTGTTGCCCAGAAAGCAGAAACTCCACACAGACCATGGTCCTTCCAGGATCCAAACATCCCATGAATGCATTTGATAAGAGAGTGCTTCTGTAATGGGGCTCAACATAGCTGTGGGCTGGCACCATCTCTTCCCACCAAGTCACATAATCGAGCTGCTTCCCTTGAGGAGGATCAATCGGCTCTGCTGGCTGACCCACAGAAACCTATTTACCTCCTTCACCCTCAGGCTCAGCCTTCCATGGGATCATCCAGATGAATCAACTCACATTGCAGCAACACCAGCAGCTGCAGGACAAGGAGGGAAGGGGGAAACCGGAATCTCCACAAGGCTAGCTTGGCTGTAACAAATAATCCTTCCATAAGGAGCCTGGTGGGGATCAAACATAACAGTAAGAAACTACCATCTTCCTTTTACCAGAGAGACTGGCAGGTTCCCTCCTGCTTTACCTTCCACGCATTCTGCTCCTAAAACCATACAGCAAGGGATTTATGAAAGCATTTATAAATATCAAGGCAGAAACAAGATCATGGCGTAAGTAACTACTACTGCGCTACACCATCCCGTGCTCGGAGGCACTGCACTCTTTTTGTGCTGTGTAGGTGCATTTTCCCCCATGATTTATTAATGGATTGGTTCAGTGAGAGGGTTTGCAGAGGGCTGAACCACTGAGGTGTGAATGAAGAGCAGCATGAATGCTGTGAGTCAGAGACCTTTCTCAGAATCAACTTTATTAAGCAAACCTTTTTTTTTTTTTTAACAAGAACACCAAAAAGTGTTTCCAAGAGGCACAGAAGGCATCTTGCAGGAGGGCAGGGATCAGCTTGCCTTGACTTCTGCAGTTGAGGAGGGCTATCCTGGCTGGAGAGGGAGCAGGTTGGCAGGCCGACCTTCTCTTGAGCCTTTCCAAAATGAGATGAAATTCTACAAAGACACCATCCATTCCACAAATGTCCCATCCTTTGCTGGAGAAGTCTGGCCTCACCTCCTTTGCCTCCCGTCTTGATCAGGCTGCGATATCAACTCTCACCTCCTCAGCACTTGGGTCTGAGCCTCTTTCCAACCTCCTCAGCATACCCTGGAGCAACAAGCTTGGCCGCAGATCTCAGTGTCACGGTTTTCCATCCCTGCAGATACCAGTCACTTGACCCTTCCGCTGCTTTGCCATGCTGAACTGGCCACTACAGTGGGAAATAAAGACACACAGGCAGGAGGCAGGTATCACAAGTAATGTCCCGACTGAAAGCATGCTGCTATGGAGGTGTGTGCTTCTCCCCACATCCAATTTCCCTCAGGTACCTAGAAATGGCAGAAGAGGAGAAACTAAGTCACTGTTTCCTCCCCTCCCTTGCAAAGAGCTCCCACATGCCTGCGGACCAAAGGAGGAAACCCAACGGCCTTCAGGAAACAAGAGCCTTGCCAACTCTCAGCTCCAGCCTGGATGGCCAACTGACACAAAGAGCAAACAGCTGAGCAGGTGCTGTCCCCAAACCGCGGGGCAGAGGGCACTTCCCAAGGCCCAGCAGCCTCTGAACTGACCCCTTGTGCCTCTCTAAGTCTTCCCACACCAGCTGGAGAACTGGTGCTCAGGAAAGACCAGAGCTTTAGGCGAGGGGAGCAGAAGCCAGGGCTGGGTTTCCCACATCCCTGCTGGGTTTCCTGAGGTGCTGCTGGCCCCCGGTAGCAAGCAGGCTTGGCCACACTGCTACCCCACAGCTCTGCTGCCCAAGGGAGCAGAGGGAACACACCCAAGGGGCTGCTTCTCAGCAGAATGACAGGCAGCTGTGTCTGCAGAGGGACAGGCAGGGCTGCATGCTGCTGGAAAGCACATGATGGTATGACCACCACATCCCCCCCACACACGTCAGGGTCGCCACAAAAGGGGACTGGACACCTCCACAACCAGTGTGTGCTGGGGAGCCAGCACTGGAGCTCTGGGAGGGAGAAAAGGCCACAGTGGAGGAAGGCAAAGACCCAGCTGGGTCATTACCAGAAGATTAAAACTGCCTTTTAAAAACACTGCCTGAAGATCTCTGCTCCCTCCCCCACCTAGCACAGCACAGATAATGAAAGCCCAGACATACCTGTCATCCCTGGGGTCCTCCTCCTGCCCAACGTGGTTACAACCTCCACCTTTGTAGCCAGCTCCAGCGACACTCCAAGCAAATCCTGAGATCCCAGCCAGATCTCTACATCTCCTGGTTCACATCTGCTGTCCTCCTTGAGCTCCCATCACATCGCTGCACGCAGCCTCCATGCAGGCTGCCCAGAAGAGCGAGGAGGGAGGGTTGAGTCCAGCTCTTTACAGATCACATGCCATCCTCCACCCTGCACCCTCGCCAGTCTCAGCCCAGTTTCAGCCACTGGCCCTGAGCGGCCCCACCTGCCAGGCTCTCCTTCAGACGCCAAGACGCAGCGAGCTCCCAGTGGGGCAGAGTTGGGCAGCTGCCCATCCGCTGGCAACACAGAGCCCCAGCGCCACCAGCCACCCAGGCTACAAGGCAGTGTGGCCCCCAAGGATGGGCAGCTGGTGGGATGCCAGTGGCTAGCAGATGTCAGCACAGACCAGCAACCCCTGCGGAGGGGCCAGTCAGTCCAAAGTAACTCAGAGAGGCCTGTCCTGCAACAGTGAGCATCACACCAGTAAAGAAATGAGGCAGCGCATGGGGAGCCCCGGGGAGGGCAACCCTTCAGCACCTCCTCTTGACTCCCACCTTGCACTGGGGAGAGAGAAGCACAAGTCAGGCCTCATCTAGGGATAACAGCCAATGGCTCCCCACAGAGAATAACATCCCCCAAAAAGCATAGCCCTTCCTTGAGACAAGGCTGCCAAACATCCCCCTTCTCTCCTCCAGCACCACCGCCACCTCTCCATCTTGACTGGGGAATACTTACTTGCCATGCTGCCTCACTCAGCTGTGGGGGACTCCTGCCTACCTGGAGGGAAGAAAACAGGAGAGTCACCAACAGCTTAAATTTCACCCCCTGAAGCCCCAAGACCTCCATCACCCAGGGTCAGATTCACGTAGAAAGAAGGGTGCTGCCTCTTCAGACAGGCAAGGACTCATGCTGCCTCCCAACTTGTGACATGGCTGGAGGGACTGGAGGGGCTCAGGACACCCTCGGAGAGCCTGGGGCAGGCTCTGCCATACCTGAGCTGCACCAGGGCCCTGCAGACAAGTGAAGTAGGAAGGGAAGAACTGGATGAAGGGGAGTCCCCAGATCTCATCAGCAGACAGAAGATCTGCATCTCAGAAGCTGCTGGGAGCAACGCCTGATGCTCCTCCCTTCCACAAGAGATTGATGACGGATACAGGTAAAGCAGTCATCCTGCTTTAAATGTACTTCATAGCCACGCCAGCTCTCGCTTCTGCAACTCCTACCCACAGTCTGCAATAAACAGGGCCATACTGTTTTCACCACTGCCATAAAGCTGACTAAACAGCGGGAAAGAAAAGGATATGGATCTCCTATAGACTGCTGGGCCAAGCTAAGGGCAGCAGCTAGAGTGACAGAGCTCCCTGTGTGCTCTGGACAACAGCTCTCCAGCCGGAAGAGCAAATTTCTGTGTTTCAGAAGCAAAACTAAATGAAACCCCACAAGAGTGAAACAAAGTCCTGCAGAAGCAGAGTATATCCCTCTCTGCCCATGGGAGGAGTTTCACTCATTTTTCAGGCTTTGCCTTCTCCCTGTGCTCGATGCCCCACTGATCAGGCCATCCTGCGCAAACTTTCTGCCACAATTCTGTAGGAGACAGAGGGGATGGGACTAACCAGCCCTACAGTGATTTATTGTGGATGAAGGAGCAAATGCAGTTAAGAAACAGCAACAACTAAACCACGTGCTGATCTTAGGTCCAAGACTTTGGATATGCAGAGTTATCCCAAAAGCACTTTAATCTGCTCAGCTGGAGGGAGGTGAGGGACAGCAAAGAGCTGTTCACGGTGTCAGGGGGGCTAGAAACACATTTCTCATTTCACATAAAAGGCAGGAATCCAGAACCACAGAAGGGCTGATGCACACCACCGCAGCAGGCACTACCACACCTCACCAACAGCCACCTTCTCAGTAAATCTGGTACCTCTACCTGTCAACATCAGGTTTCCTGTGGTTTCGGAGCTTCCTGCACCAAAAGCTGGAAGAGGCCAAGCAAACATGGAGCTGTCTCCCGAGGCAGAAAGCTGCTGCTTTTCAACAGTTTGCAAAACTCAGATTGCAAACCTCAGTGTGGAGTTTAAGCAGGAGTGAGGGAAAGCAGAGAGCACCAGAATTACACAGGAGGGGTCTGCCACCTCCTGCACCCCACAGCCCATCCCAGGAGGCCTTTTCTCCAGAAACCACACACCCAACCCCACTTCTCTGAGCTGTCCTGGGGGATGAGAGAGTAGTGGAGAGGCTTCCGGATCCATGCATTCCCCAACACACTGTGTCAGCTCTGAGCAGGGACCACCTGACCTGCTTTTGTTGTCATCAGTTTTTACAAAGAGATCCAAATCCACAGGACAAAAGAACACACAGTGTGCAAAACTTGCCACAGTTTCCACATAAAACCTCTGTACTGCTCATTGTTACAGGCATTCTCCCCCTTTGACAGCCAGCAGAACAGAGATGCAGAAATAAGGATATTCAAAATCAGATTTGTCAGGACCTCCAGCTCCATAACCCACGTCATACATTGGGCAACACGTTTAATGCATCAGGAAGATTTTATCTTTAACTTTTTTCCAAGGATCTGGGCCAATGCACCCAGTGTCAGAGCTCAGAGATGGCTGATTCCAGCACAGCAACAAGCCAGGTCTACAGAAGCCTACAAGCACAAGCAGTGCCTGCAAGCATCCCAGACACCTATTTTCATTTCCACACGCAAATGCCTAACCACCTCCCGCGGCCCCGAGGAGCAGGAAAGGCTGGACCACCACACGTGCTGACGCCAAGGCAAGCAGCATCCCTCCTGCCTCCACACAGCCACGCAAGCTGACAGAAGCCTGAAGCTGGAGGCTGACCTAGCAGACGCCCACCCAGCCCCAGTCCCGTCCCCCCCGCCTCTCTCCGGCTTCCCAACACGCGTTCGCCTCCTCTATAAATACCCATCGATAGGAGGTTGCTAAGGCAACCGTGAGGAGGCGCGAGGGATGCAGCCGTGAGAGTGAGGATGCTGCAGTCGCACATTTGTGTCTCCCCCGGGCTCCCCTCATCTCCGCCCCCGCTCCCGTCACCGATGCCAAAGTTGGAAATCGTGCTGGTAAAATCTGATGCGTGCGCGGTGCTGGCCCCCCGCAGACCCGGAGCGGGGCTGAGGGGGGGCCCCGGGGGCCACACTGGGAGGTGGCGCCTCCTCGCCAGGCTGGGGGGCATAG